GAATTTATAAGAGAATTACTCTAGTTCAGCTAGATTGGGAGCAATTCTTGACTCCTGCCTGACTTGTGATTACTGGAGACTGAAATTGTATGAGCACTTATCTTGCTGAAGCATTCATTTTATCACAGGCCCCTCCTTGTGTCTATTAAATTACTCATATTATGTTCAGGGCATACATTTTATCAGATACTCAGGAATAAAAGTAGCAATCCTGGCTTTGCTGCTTCTTAGCTGGGTGACCTGAGGCAAGCCACTTCCCAATTCTAAGCCTTAGTTTCCTCTTCTGGAAAATGAACTGAGTTGGAGCAAATGAAAGCTCCTTCCACTTCTAAAGCCCAGCATGAAACATTGTTATAGAGAATTATGCTTTACTCATTTCACCCTGAAGTACACCAAGACATCTCATTTCTTTTTATGACCTATATGAGATATTATGTAGCCAGGGTACTAGTGGTCAGCCCTGGCTTTAGAAAATCATTTGGAGACCGAGAAGGGTAGGATAATTTGGGAAAGGCTCAGTGTCCCAGAAGCTGAATTGTCCTTGCCAAGTTCCTATGGATGAGGAAGAGGATGCTTCAGTTGAAACAAATTGTTGGGTTTGGCAAAATAAGAACATTAGACTTGGGAAGTCAGAGCAAGGGAGTTCAAATCTGGCTGCCTTCACTCACTACCTGTGTGACTTTGGGCAAGTTACTTAACCTCTCTGGGCCTGTTTCATCCTCTGGGAGGAGGGGAGGGTTGGCCTAGACCCCTTTCAATGCCAAATCTATGCTCCTATGAGCCTACTGAGGCTAACAGCAATTGGAATGTCAGAGCTAGAAGAAACTTTAGAAGTCATCTGGTACAATCTGTTCATTTTACCGGGTAGAGAACGAAGCCCACAGGAGGGAAAAATGTTGCCCAGGGTCACACACAACAAAATCGGTGGCCTAGATGAAACCACAACTCAGGTTTTCTGATTTGAAAGTCTATTCCTTTTCTCCCATGCCCCATACATCATTGTTGGGCTGTGGAGATGGAAAAGTAGGAAGCTCGCCAAGATGGACCTTGGTAAGCTTGTCCTCAAGCTAGTCTCAAACATTAGCTTCTTTATCTTCTCACCCAAGCCCAGCTTGGTAAGCTTCTTATCCTCACCTCAGGTCTATTCTACCACTGACATGTTCCAAGGACCAGAACGGTAGCAAGTCTACCAGGTTGGGCTTTGGGTAAGAAAGCAGGAAACTAATTTACAAGATTAACTTTAGAACACACTCCTGTTTATTCACTTCCAAAGCTCAGTTTGGTAGGTTTTCTTGCCTTCCATTCCTAGAGCTTGTTAGTGGAGGGGGCACTCCCAAGAGCTAGGGATAGGAAGCTAATCAAGTTAAGACCCAGCAAGGAGAGACTTTCCAGACAAGGGAAGCCCAAGTGAATTAACACTCTGACCCCCCTGCAAAGGGTTATGGCAAATGATGCTTGGATGGAGGGGAAGGGCTTTGCTATCTACAGTGTCTTAGCCAAAAGAATGAATCTCTATCGGTGGAATCTCAGGTATCAGGAACAGATTGGGGAGTGTTGGGTGGAGGCGAAGGGTATAACAGGAAAGATCTGGCAGCAGGGAGAAATCTGAAGTCAAGCCACTTGAGTGGCTGGTCATGCCATTTTGTACAGTGGTCTTCACTGGGGATAGGACATTTCCAAGTATTAGTGCTTTGTTTTCAGTGCCGTGCCCATATTCAATTCAGGCCCTGGTCCTTTAATAAGATGGCTTTTCTCTTTCCCCACAGGGGACTTTTCGGTTAGGAATAGAGAGAAAGATTTCCCTGAAATCTGGTGGCTCAGAAGTGGGTCTCTTTTCTGTTTGGGACTCTCCCAGCCCATTCTTAGAAATAGTGACATCCCCCCCCCTCCCCGAATACTTCCCCCTTGTCTTAGGCAGACTCTCTTCTTCATGTCCTCCTTCTATACAGTCCCCGGGACTTCCACTTTCTCTCTACATCAGTCTCACTCCCCTGGTTTTGAGTTGATGCAAGCCAGCTACTCACTGAAATAAACTGCATTTCATAGGACCCTAGAGTGTCAGAGCTGGCTTTGCACATCTAGATCTGGAAGGGATCTAGAGGCCATTTGGTTCAGCCCCCATTTAACAGATTTGGAAACTGAGCTTAGAGAGATAGTGACGTGGCCAAGTTTGCACAGGCGATAGATGGGAGAGCTGGAATTCTAACTCCGGTCCTGTCACTCTGAATTTGGTTCTTTTTCCATAACCCTTTGATGGCTTTAAGAATCATTTCATTCAGCTCCGTTATTTTCCAGAGGATATTACAGAAGCGCAGAGAGGGGACCTGACTCTTTTTGGACCTGACTCTTTTTTAGGTTAGTTAACATAGTAAGTTAATGGTAGAGTCAGGGCTACAATTCCATTCTTGAGACTTTTCAATGCCCGTGCCTCATTCCCACCCAAAGGTTATTTTTAGTTTTAAACAGATGACCAAGAGCACACTTGACAATGTGTACCTCACAGGCTTTGTTTTTGGGTGTGGTCCCAGGCCCTTTGGGGCATGTCTCAGCTTGCACTGGGCAAATGGAGTCCTCCGTAAATGGCATTAAACCAGCCAGAGTCTAATCAGACTCGTGATTCATTCTGATCTGTCCAGGGGGCTGCCTGAGAGGGCTGCCTCTCTGCTGGGCCTTTTGCTATCAAAAGGAGCAGCCATCTGCTTCTTCAGGGATAAGGGAAGGAGAGGGATGGCTCTGGAAGAGGACAGACTCTATTTAGTCATCTCTTCCTCCCAGCTTAGGGGGGCACATAGAATTAGGACCAGGAGGCACAGTATAACACCAAGGTGCCACTTATCGCCAGGAAAAAAAAAAACCCTTTCCTTCACTATGCCAAAAGAGCTATGATTCCACTGGGAAAAGATGCCCCTTCCCTGCCTTAGTTAGGTTATTGCTATTCTTGAGAGTGGTTGTAGAGGAATCAATATATCTTCTGGTGTCAAATTTCTATTAATGAGCCTCTCTGGATGGTCTGGTTCTCCCATAGAATACAAGCCCCTTGAGGGCAAGCACTGTTTCATTTTTTTCTATCTATCTCCAGTGTCTTACATAGTGACCGGAATGCTTACTGGTGGATCAACTACCTGAGTGTTGGTCCATAGCTCGGTAGGGGCTCTCAGGACTCGTGCTAGATTAGTGGAGCTTTTGGGAACCCAGGGTCACCTCTGGGCCATCACATGACATCAGAGGAGGATTTTGGTGAAGTCATGTCAACATGTATTTTTTTATATTAAGAAAGTATTTAATTAATAATTATTCTATGCAACTGACATGAAAGGGGGAATTTGAAAAAAGGTGGAGGAATATTTTTCACATTTCTCTGTAGCATCTTCAGATAGCATGCAGCTCCTACATGTTTTTTCACAATAACTCTCTGAAGTAGGAACCCCAAGGATTATTTTCTCCATTTTCAAGTTAACTAGTTGGAATAATGAAGCGTCTGCTTTGTGCAAAGTAATGTAGGGTATGAAAATAAATGTCTTACTTTCGAGGAAATGAGAGCCAGAGATTAGCCTGGATTACACAATTTACTCAATCTTGGCCCTGGAGTTAAACTCAGGTCTCTCTTGGCTTCAATGTGCAAAGACTCAATTTGCTATATGAAGTTCCCTCAAGTAAGTTGGCATGTTTTGACTGGGGTCGGTGAAAATGCTGGTGTGGAGTGATTAATAATGATGGTAATAATACTAATAAGAGCTAACGTTTATACAGGAAGGTTTACAAAGTACTAGGGCAGCTAGCAGATGAAGTGGATAGAGCAATGGGTCTAGATTCAGGAAGACACAAATTCAAATCTGGCTTCAGACACTTAGAGCTTTGTGACCCTGGACAAGTCTCTCAACCTCTATCTGCCTCTACTTTGCAGTGGACAGAATGCCCAGCCTGGAGTCAGGAAGACTTATCTTCCAGAGTTCGAAAACAGATACTTACTAGCTGTGTGACCCTGGATAAGTTACTTCACCCTGTTTGCCTCAGTTTCCTCATCTGTCAAATGAGCTGGAGAAGGAAATGGCAAACCACTCCCAGTATTTTTTCCAAGAAAACCCCCACTGGGGTCATGAAGAGTTGACACGACTGAAATAACTGACCAAAGAACAAACGTATTATCTTGCTTATTCCTCACAACTACCCTGTAAATTAGGTGCCATGTGTTATTCCTGTATTTGCCCAGAATCACATAGCTAGTAAATGTCTTTTTTTTCTTTTTCTTTTTTTTTGGCTAGGCAATAGGGTTAAGTGACTTACCCAGGGTCACACAGCGAGTGTTATATGTCTGAGGCCAGATTTGAACTCAGGTCCTCCTGAATCCAGGGCCGGTGCTCTATCCACTGCGCCACCCAGCTGCCCTGCTAGTAAATGTCAAGGGCAGGATTCAAACTCTAGTCTTCCTGCTTCTAAGTCCTGAGCTCTATCCATAGCACCACCTCACTGCACAATGAACACCAACATTAACTACACTGGGACCGAATTCAGGCAGATTTCTAATTGTCAAAATGTGAACGAACATTCAGTAATTGTGTCCATCAAGCAGACTTCTCCTTAAAACTGAATTCTCAAACAGTGCTAGTAATGAGATCATTTACCCCTAGAAAGGAGCTTTTTCAGTGCTAATGAACAGTTTGGGGGCAGACTCTAGGAATTGTTTCCCAGATTGGACAAGGGCATCTTTTCATAAGAGGTACCATAATCCAAGATCTCATATTGAAATGAAGCAGGTCGGGTGGGTAAACACACAAAACTGACATTTCAGCAACACCAGTGAAGGAATGCTACAAACTAATTTATGCCCTCTCACCATCCATCCCCTTGAAGCTTTAATCAATCCTCTGCTAATTTTACAATCCTCTGGCCCAAGAGCGACTCAGGATGAAAGAGTGAAATGTTTTTAACGATTCTGAAATGCCACAGTTCCAGAATCACCCACCAAAGCCTGGTGTGTGTTATGATTTGTACATCCTCACCTTTCTAATGGAGGCAAAGAGGGGTTGGAAGACCATTTATGCCCATTAAATGGCACAACAGAACTGGTTTCTTATTATTTGATGCCCTTCCTCTTCAATAATTCTGTCATGGGACCAAGTCCTGCAAAGGTTTGTCCCTTGAAGTTGTCATCTTGAACTTGCAGGGGTGTAAATGGCATGTGTCTCACCACAAGAACCAGGTACAAATAGGAGGATCTTCTTTCTCCCTTCAGACAAAACACATGAATCACAGCTCTGCAACCATCCAGACTTAAGAAAGCCCCTACTATTCTTTAATCTCTAAGGAAAAATCCAGACAAATTCAAGTTTTTTTTTTTAAATTCTGGCCAGCTGTGAGCTGTAACCAGTGTGGAGTAGATGGAGCTTTGCCTTACGGCGCCTACCTCTAGGACGGTGCATTTGCTCCCTGGGAGTGTGTTTCCTACCTGAAGTGACCCCCATCCCAAACTTGTCTCATTGTTTTCTGGGGCCTTGGTTGCTAGAGGTTCATTTGTGTCATGACAGGGGGCTGGCTGGCCTTTACTCCTGAAGGGGTTCTGGGAGAGAAGGGTCCTAGGAGAAGACCACTAGGGTCTTCTTGCCCAGTTCTGTCTCCCCAGCCCCCCACCCCAACCCTAAGGACAATAACAAGACCGCCCCTTCTCCTTACATAACTGTACCAGAGGTCAAACTGTCCTCAACAGTGGAGGTCAAACTGTCCTTTGCACCTCCACTGCTGTGGCCCTCCCCCAGCCCCCAGCCCCCACCCTCCACCTCCATTCAGTTGCTTTGAAAATATTCCTGGTTCCAGCTCCAGGAGAGAGCAATAATAACAACAATAACAAACATAATAACAAGAGAAGTTACAATAACAAAAACTTGCATGTATTTAAGGCTCTAAGGTTTACCAAACACTTTCCTTCATAACAGCCCCGTGCAAGTATCCCTGTTTTACAGATGAGTAAATTGAGGCTCAGAAAAGTGGTCATTTTGCTCAAGGTTACCTAGCTAGGAGATAAGAGACAGTGAGGGAGCCTGTCTTTGGACTCATAGTGTGTTGTAGTGTTTCTTTCATATACCCCTCTTTGGCTGGCATTTGGACCAGTTCAGCCCTTGCAACTCCCTCCTGACCAAGGGAAGAGCCCAAGTTCTGTGAGTAGTTTGCATCCCTGAGATCGGTCTGCAGCCCAGCAGAACTGCTCAGGTCTAGTGACACCACAGGTTAGATTCCTTGGCTGCTTGGAGGAGATGAGGGTGGGGTAGGGGGCTGTGATCCTTACCAGGAAAGCTGGCTTCTTTCTGCTGGAGAGTCTCCAATAAGGACAGGAGGAATTAAGAAGCCTTCTCTTTAGCTGGGGTCAGCAAACCCAGGGTCCAGTTCCTTTTCCTGAGAGCAAAGGAGAGAGGAAGGGACAAGTCTGGGCAGAGTTCTGCAGTCACTGAACCAACATTATCTTCCAGTCACTGTTATGGCAAAGCCTGGATTCTATTTTGGTTTTTTGAGAATTTCTGTCCAGATTTCCTACTCAGTTCTCAGCCGCTTCTTGGGCCGGAGCTTCAGTTTTCTGAGGTGAGGAAAAAAAGGTAGAATTCATTGTTGGGGTGGAGGAAGGGAGAAGGGAAGACATGGTTATTTTTCTGTCTGTCCCAGCAGTCGAAGAGAGCAGTAATTTAGAAAAGGGGGACAATTTCCTGGTTGGTGTTTTTGAAATGTTTTCCTCCCTTAACTTGGACATATTGATACTATCTTCCTCTCTCTCCCCTTCCCACTTCCCAAACAAAGGGCCATAAGATAACGGGACATTATCACATTACCTCCATTCCAGAGATGACACATTGAGACAAAGAGATCGTAAAACAGAGCCCTGGGCTGGAAAAGTGAATGATACGCATCCAAGTTCTGGCCTTTCAATCCACTTTGTGTGACCTGGGAAAAATCTCATCCAGTACAGGCCTCAGTTTCCTGAACAGAGGGTTCAGGTGATGCTAACTATTCATCAGCCCCATCCTGAGCCAGCTTCCCAATATTGTTCTTTGTTTCAGAGCAGCTCAGGACTTAGCTAGACAGAGGAAGGATAGTTTACTTACATAGATCTGACTCTCCTCTTCATAGATCCATCAACTTTCTATAAGTAATCTTGTCACAGAACTACTTGGGATAACCTCAGCTAGGGGTAGAATACAGTGAAACTGCTGGATGAGGGTATGGAAATGGAGTTTGGTTTCCCTCGGATGGCCTGGACTGGACTAGTAAGGAATGTGGCCACCTTCTCCCTCAGAATCCTAGGTTAACGTTAGTGGTGTAATGTTGTAACCTCGAGGTATAACCTTGGATTAATGATCAGAGGACAGAGGGTAGCAGAAAGATCCCTGCAATTGAAGTCAGAGGACCTGGGTTCAATCCCAGCATTGCCATTAGCTGTGCTTTGCTAGGTCTCTACTCTGAACCTCTGTCATCAACAGAATGAAGGTGTGGCCCTGGATGGTCCCACTCTCTGATGCTATGATTTCTTCCTTTGTGCAATCAGTATGTTAGATCTGAAATCTAACTGAGGTAGGTAGTTCCTCAGAGTGGCTCTGAATCAGCTGTGTACCATTCCAGTTCATGTTGTTTCCATAAATCTTCCATGGACATCTACCCCAAAGTCTGATAAATTTTCCTCTGGTTCTATTTCTAGACACTCGGGCTGTCCCTCATTCTCACTACATCACCTGCCCAGGTCCTTTACTAGTCACACACATCTATGAGGATATCATGGCGGTTCTTGTCCCAGGTCCTTTGGGACCCCCAGGAGAAGGACAGAGGAGGCCTTAAGAAAGGGCCAGAAAAGATACAGAAAATGAAAGTGCATTAAAGTAGTACGAGATGTTAGGCAACCTTAAGAGGTAATCACTGACATTAATTTTCTTCCATCTATTTCAGGGTAAATTCCTACCCAGAAGGGTTGTGAAGCTAGCCAGAAAGGGCTTAAGAAACTCATTGCCCCCCTTTCAGGGCCCTTACTTGCTTCCCAGTGGAAATGTTGATTTAATTGCTTAAGTTTTGTGGGAAATACGACACGGGAGACAAATCTAGAACGACAGAAGTGTGTATGTGTGCGTATGATCTCTGTGTGTGTGTGTGTGTGTTGTGTGTGTGTGTGTGTGTGTGTGTGTGTGTTCGTGCGCGCGCCCTGGCGAGCGCGCGAGTCTCGGCCGGGTAAGGGAGAGTTCTGGCTTCCAGGGCCCGGCTTCGCCCCTGCCCCCAGCCCTCAGGCTAGGCTACGGAGACCGGCGGCCGCAGTCCCCAGCCCCGTTGTCACTCACTCACTCGCTGAGCCTGGCGCCGCGCCCTGCTCCCCGGCTGAGCCCGGAGGGCGGGGTTTGGGTGGACTGCTCAGAGGAGGCTCAGCGGAGGCTCAGCGGAGGCGGAGACTGTGCGGCTATAATAGGCTCCGAAGCCGGGTAGCCCAGCCAGAAGAGGAGGTGTGAGCGACGCCACCGAACCGGGTTCGAGAGCTGGGGCGAGGGCAGGGACGCGGAGCAAGCAAGGCTAGCTTGATCGAGACATCGAGAAGGAGACTGAGGAGGTGAGAGGAGGTTTGGAGCTGAAGACTTAAGGACTGGAAGGAGGCAGGATTTGAGGGTTGGAGAGGCCCTTAATTCTCCTGTACTGTAGTGTGAGTGTGAGAGAGAGTGTGTGTGTATGTGTAAGTGTAAAGAGGTGGTCCTGCATTCCTCCCGGCCAGGGGCTGTCCGAGGCGCTGCCGGGGGAAGGTGGGCCCGAGTCTCCTGGCTTGGGGTGGGGAGAAGGGGCCTCTTGTTGGAGCGCCCCCTCCCCACCGATTTCTCTTCTTCTCTGGTCTCTACTGAACGGCCCCCGCCCGGTCCAGCCCCGTTCCCCGCGTAGTCCTTTCTCTCTTACCCGTCTTGGGACCCAAGGAGAGGAGGCTAGAGAGAAGGGAAAGGAGGGGGGGGCGTGATATCCCTAGATCTCGTCCGTGTTAGGAGGGGGTCTCACCCCCGATTCAGGGACCCCGCCCGTTTCCTGCTTTCTCACCAACATAGTTGGGGGTAGTGAGAAAGGCGAGAAGCTGGAATCTGAGGAAGACGCCCCCCACCCGCGATGCAAACCGGGCCCGGGCTAGGGGTGGGAGTCGAGGTTCGGACTCTTCCCTGCTCCGGAGTCGGGGATGCCCGGCAGGTTAAAAGCTTAGGCCCGCCCCGGGGCGGGGATCCCCAGGCTGATCGATCGGGGTAGGTTCCGAAGAGAATGTCTCGGGGTCCCGGGGGCGGCTCCTTGGTGGATCCGGGAGGAGTGGAGGGATCCCAGCCGGCTACGGCGATGTCGCAGTTTCTCTCAGCGACAGGCACCACCCCTCTCCTCTTTCCTTTGGCACGGCAGACAGGGACCGAGGCCACCTCCCCTGCACCCCTCCCTGCCCGCCCGGCCCGGAATCCTTGTCCCCCGAGCCCCACCCCCAGGCTAGCCCCTTCTCCCGGCCCGCCTGGCCAGCTCAGCTCCGGGTCTGGAGGGTGGTGTCGCTGGCCCCCCGGGACGTGCAGGGACTTGTCCCTTAAGGGAGGGGGAGCAGGAGGTGACTCACGGGTGACACGGAGACCCCAGGGAGTGGGGCGGGGTGAGGTCAGAGCCCCACCCCGGGGAGGAGAGCTGGGGTTTTTTGGGGGGAGTGTGGGGAGAGCTCCGCGGCTTCTGTGAGCCTCAGTCTCCGGAGCTACCCCTTAACAAAGGGAGGTGTGTGTGGGTATGGGGGGGAGGGGCTGGCCCCCGAGAGGAGTTGAGGGGACAGCGGCCAAAGACCTCCCCTAGGCTTCGGCTTTGTTAGTTTGCTCTGGGTCCAGGGAGGAGAAACCTAAGCTCTCGGAAAGCCGCGGCACCTGAGTGTTTGCGGTCTTTGTGCCTCGGTTATCCTTCTGAAAAATGGGCACAGTCATCCTGCCTCACTTTTCCGAGGCGTTCTCGAGGTGGCCATCTCTTCCCGAGATGGACGGCTCCTTTCTCCCTGACATCCCCCTCTAGTATCTGGACCCCTGCCGGCTTCTCGGTCCGGCCCCTGTCCGGGAGCCGGACCTTGCCTCTCCCAGACCGAGGGGGGCGGGGACCTGAGGGAGGAGGGGAGGCTGGGGATCCTCGCGTCGCCTTTCCTACTGGGACCTGGGGATGTCCGATGCTGGGCCCACTTTCCCCAGCCCCTCGGGCTGTCGGTGACCCAGTGAACCAGAGCGGGGGTGGTAGTGGAGGCAGCGAAAGCACCTTTCCTAGTTGGGTGTTTCCGGTGTGTGTATGCAAACGACGAAGGCGTGTGTGTTTGTGTACTAGGGCTTCTGGCTCCAGATCCTGGCCAGCCTGGAGAACGTGCGCACGCACACACACACGCATACACACACACACGCATACACACACTCACACACGGAGGTCACGTGTGTGCCCGCCCAGCAAATACTTGTAGAATTGCTTTGCTGTGCTTTGCACTGAATTGGATACTTTTAAGTAGGCGGCGATGCCTAGACACTCCGCAGCCCCCTCCCTTCCCCTCTCCGCTCCAAGCGCTTCCCGAAGAGTAGCGGGCTGGTGTTGGTCGGTTGGGGTTTGCTTCCACTGCTATTTTTATTTCCCAGTTAACCAATTGTCTCCTTGGCTGGACTGGGCGTGGAGCTGAGGCCGTGGCAGAGATGTGCGCCTGTGTCTCCTGGCTGTATCTGTCTTTGTCTGTCCGTGCCTCTGCCCGGGTCTGTCTTTGTTTGTGTCTCAGTGCCGAGTGAGAGAGGCTTCTTTCCCAACAGTGTCATGTGCAGTTTCGGAAGCCCGGCTGGCTCAGCGTGACGTGTTCACATCCCTCTCCCACCCCTCCACCCTGCCCCTCCCCAGGAGCCTGTGACGTGCCGCCCTCCAAGTTTTGGCGGGCTGGCAGTCCAGGAAACTGACTCACTACAACTTCTCCCTTCTGGACTGTCCCGCTGCCCTAGGCACCCGGACAGGCTGCTGGGGTAGTCGGGGGTGGGCGGTGAAGGGGGGGATTTCCTAGAGGCAGGCGCCCCCTCCTGGCTCTGGGGCTGCATAGCCCAGCCACCCTACCCCAGCATTTCTCAAAAGAAATTTCCCAAATGACTCTTGCCTAGGGGCCTTTGTTTGCTGTGTCTCACTCCCAGAGAACCTTCTGTCCTGAGCTCAGCAGGCATGTACAGCCAGCCAGCATTTCATCACGCACTCTACTCCGGTCTTTTCTCCTGATTTGCTCCACTTTGCAAAAATAACCCTTTCCTTACCAGGCTGGTGCCTGAGATTTGTAGACTCAAGAGCTGAGCAGTGGATAAGCATTTATTAAACACCTAACAGGTCAGATTTTAGTAAGAATTTAGTAAGTGCTTACCACCTCCCAGGCACCGAGTGCTGCAAGACCTAGAGTGAAATAACCCCTGCCCTCAAGGAGCTAGAACAATCCCTTCATTTTACTAGGGTATGATTTGTCGTTGTTCAGCCATGTCTGACTCTCTGTGACTCCATTTGGGGTTTTCTTAGCAAAAATTCTGGCTTGGGAAACTGAGACAAAGAGGGTTAAGTGACCTGTC